TTTTAATAATATAGAAAAATATCTATTTACCTGCAATACATGTTTCTTCATTTTCATCAAGGTTCCCAGGACAATTACCAGCATGACTATCACAAATAAATTGCAAAGCAATACATCGCTTACTTTCTGCTCATTGAAATGGCTCCGATGGATCAATACATTCTAAATGAAAACAGCAAGAAGACACAATTGAATATTAAATTAATCTTTTCTTTGATTATTATACTCAACAGACAAATTTATTAATTATAAATACATTTTTTTTGGATAGAAAAAATTTAAGAACAATGATAATAACATGTACCTTTAAATTTATGACTTGTTTTTAAAGTATTGAATGGTAATGTTGGCCCACGAGCTTCAGCTGCACTACCAGATGGTCTTTTTTCAAACCATATTTTTAATGAATCATATGGATGACTAGAATCAGTAAGCTAATGTCGTCGTGCGCCATTGGTAGGTAACCGAGCAAATTCGGCACTAGAACCTACTTGAATAAGAGCCATCAAAGGGGAAATAACAATGGCAAGTTGCAATGAGGTTGATTTTGTCATTATTGTTGTACTGTTAGCTAATCTTGTGAAAAAGTGAAAAAATGCTGGAAATTAATAAAAACAAAGGAAATGTGAGAAGTGGTGATTTTTTTAAATTTAGATTGAGGGTGTGAGTGTGGGTGTGGGTGTTGGTGTTGGTGTCAATGTGGACGAAGAGAACATCCATATCCACACCCACACCCACAGCAGAGATAGAAACGGAGCGAGAGATCGGGGCGAGGCCCTGGGACGGGGACCATTTTTCTCGGGGCGAGGCGAGGTGGGGAGAGGTTAAGACGAAGAAAATTTTATCTGGGCGAGGCGGGGAGGAATTACGACGGGGAAAATGTATTCGGGGCGAGACGGGGAGAAGTTAGAACGGGGGCAAGCGCGGCGGGGAGAAGCTATGACGGGGCAAAGCGGGGCACGGAAAAAATTACGACGGGGGTGTCGAGACAGGGTTAAGTTAAAATCCCTGATCTTACCTCGTGATAGCTCCGCAGCATAAATATTGATATATAGACTATGTATTTGAATAATATATGCATAAAGACTTATGATTATAGTCTCTGTGCAATAGATTATCTACTCAATGCTTTGTAGAAATACAAAAGTTTTCCGTGAAATATCATTGGTCTCTAGTGAGGGTGTGGGTGTGAGTGTGTTGAAGAGGAGACTCACATCCACTCTAATACCCACACCCTCCAAAGAAAAAATGAATAATTTGAAACAACTCTGTTGTTTTCAAACAAAACTCTCAATAGACACCGAAACTATTTGCAGATCAATGGATTGATATGTTGAACGAAATTGAACTGCATTTTTAGCGTTGCTCCGTTATCAAAAAACAGAACTCGAACAGGAGAATATCTTCAACTGTTCACTGCTGAATACAATTTTGGATCAGCAAAAAGTGCCATTCTGAAACATCGATAAAAACCCATTAAAATGTCATGACAGCTAAGAAAATTTCCGGCAGTTCTAAAACATCAGAACATGAAAGTTACGCTGAGCAATGCTTTATTTTCAAGGCATTATGTCGTGTTAACAATGTTGTAGTCGGAGGTTTTTTCCACAGTTCAAACATTGGTCGTATTAAAATCTTCATCTGACTATCGATTTAAGCAATATAAAAAAGAAATACCGTTCTTACGAAGCAATCCGA